TAAGGATATGAACAGAGAATTCTCAAAAGAAGAAATAAAGATGGCCAAGAAACATCTTAAAAGGTGTTCATCATTGTTAGTAATTAGGGAAATGCAAATTAAAACCACTTTAAGATTTCATCTTACCCCAGTTATACTGGCTAAGATCAAGAGAACAAATGATACCAAATGTTGGTGAGGATGTGGGGAAAGGAGAACACTCATCCACTGCTGGTGGGGCTGCAAACTTGTTCAACCCCTATGGAAAGCAGGGTGAGAACTCTTAAAAAGCTAACAGTGAACCTACCATTTGACCCAGTTATATCACTCCCTGTCATACCAAAAGATTCATCCTATTGCAGGGACATTTGTACATCCAAGTTTGTTGCTGCTCTTTTCACAATAGCTAAGAGATGGAAGCAATCTAAGTGTCCCTCAACAGATGAGTGAATAATGAAAATGTGGTTCATTTACACAATGGAATTTTACTCAGCAGCAAAGAAAGATAAATCATGAAATCTGCGGGTAAATGGATGGAACTAGAAACTGTTATATCAAGATAAGTAACACAGACTCAGAAAAACAAACGATGTATGTTCTCCCTCATATGTGGATCCTAGCACCAAACCCTTTAAAGTGAGTATGTATCCAGACATAACTACAGGTACCAGGATAATGAAAAGGAACCAGGGAGGTAAAGGGAAAGAAAGAATGAGAGAGAGAAGTAGGAAACAGGTGTTACTAAGGGAGAAATGGATAAAAATGAGGTTATTTATATTGGAGGGGAGAGGGAAGGTTATACAAGGAAACTTGGGGATAAAGGGAGAGAAGCTTAAAAGAGGTGGGACCATAGGAGATTGGTATTAGCAAGGGAGAAATGAGGAAAATTGGGATACTTTAAATAGGGAAACCATGGTGGAAGGGTTAGACAGAGAGAGAGAGAGGAGAGAGAAATATTGCATAAATAGTTTTTTAAACCAGAGGGAATCATATTAGCCCAACAACCTAATGACAAATTACACATGCATTATCTATACATGAGTCCATGAATATAGCTAAAGGTTACATAACAAGAAACAGTGCCAGACAGGAGAAACCTTCCTTTGAGTTGTTGGCCAGGGTGCCCCAAGAGACTCCCCAAATCACAAGGCTATTGCCACAGCCCTTGGTGGCCTCCCAAAACTTGAAGGTAAGACCCTACTGCTGAAGACAGAACATATTTTGGACACAAGATTTGGAGCAACTGACTTGTAACCACTTCCCCTGAAGGCTAGCTCTCATAGCTTTGGAAAATTCTATGAAGGTGCCAAGGGAAAACATCAATCCATGGTCCAACAACAGCTTCAAGAACAAGTAACCACAATAATCAATGACCAGCACAACATACAACATTGGTGCAGTAGTAGCACTTTTATCTTGGGGGCAATTAACAGCTACCTAATTGGACTAAAAGCCCACTCAGTGGGAGGAAACTCAAGTGTGGTATTGTAAACATAACCAAATACACATGGCTGGAGTGGTCCTACATCTTAGAGAAAACCCCAAGACTGTCACATCCCTAGACTAATGTGATTTGTTTCTATGTGCCAAATATGTATCCTTATGTTTACAGACAAATATCCCAGTCACCACTCATCAAAGAAACTCATTTTGCACCAGTCAGAGACTACTACCAAGTACCACAACTGGTCAAACACAGACATTGTCTATGAGCTTCCCAGGCTTAAGCAACACATCTACCAAAGTCTTCTTTCTTAACTCTCCATTTTTCTCAAAGCTTCTCTTTTCTAGTTTATTTATCCTCTGGTATATTGTGGTAAGAAGGGAGAAATGGAAAAATGGCTTACTAACCTATATAAGGGCTGGGTTTCCGACATTCGGGGTCTTCGCCCTGTAAGCTTATGCTCTCCCTCTCAAGATGCATTAAAGCTTTTCTGCAGAAGGATCCTGACTGTGCCGCGTCGTTCTTGCTGGCGAGACGATAGCGCGGGACACACATGGGCATTGTCTATGAATTGCCCAGGCCTAAGTGACACATCTACAATGCAACATCTACACCTAAGTCTCATGGAACATAGAACAGGGGTAAAGAAGAGGATACTAATGAATCTCTCAGTTCCCATTAATGGAGGTCCCTCATGCAGCAGAGGGCCAGGAACACAAAAGGTCACAAATAGCCAAAGCAATAGAGATCAAGAGTCTGCTGAATGCTGGTCCTTGGACAGGACCCTTTATTAAACTTCACTCACCCAGTGCTCAGGGACCATCACAGAAGAGGGGGCAGAAAGATTGTAAGAGTCAGGGATGATGTGCACAACCATATGGAAAGAGTCCTACAAGCTCCTGGGAGCCTGCTCATATGATTCGATGGCAGTGGTGTCAGCATACACAAGTCCCATGAAAACTCAAGCAGACAAAAACCCAGCACAGAACTGGGAAAATGAACAGCAGACCCCGAACTTATCTGAAGAAATATTGGCAACTGATTTCTGCTAGGTGAGGAAGAGCTGATCTTCCTAAAACAAGCGACTCTAGATAGGTTGACTAGACAGACCTCAGTGGGGAACATCTAGGGACACTGACTTGACACAGTGGCCCTTAACAGGGATGGCAGAGTATATGGGTTCCAGTGGGGGGCTCTGGGAGGGTGCTGGTGGGGACCGGGCTATAGAGATGATTAAGAATGTTTGAGATGTTCTGTATGAAATACACAAAAATTCAATAAAAACAAATGGTCTCTGTTTAAACAGACTTGTGAGTGAGTAGTTCAGTAGTGGTCATGTCAGGCTGTGCTTTGGGGCTTCTGAGAGCCACATTCTCCCAGGCCATATGAAGCCTTTGGTCTGATAAGTGCCCTGAGTACACAGACTATTCAAAGTCAAGGTCAGAAACCACTGCTTCGAGTGGTCATCCTGGTAAGGACTGGAGTGGGTTGGGGGCTCTCCCTGTATGCCAGCTTTCTTAGGCCCATTGACTCTCTAAAGGTAAGTTAGGATGAGAAAGGTGAGGTGAAGTGAGGATGTGGTGGGGGAGGGAGGGTAAAGAAAAGAATGGAAGAAAGGAGAGGGGAGAAGCCAGCTAGGTGTTTGCTGGAAACTGGCAGAAGCCTATGTCCCCAACGTTCTACCACGCACTGAGATTATAGGTGTGCCTGCCACACCCAGCCATGTGTTAGAATTTTAATCCTCAGTTCAGTGGTGATGGGAGATGGGGCCAAAAGGGAAGAGTTTATATCTTGCGTAAGTTGATGTCAGTTGGGGAGATTGGGGCTCATTTAGAGTGAGTTTTCTTGGGAGCAGGGGAAACAAGAATGGGTTTCTTATAAAAGCACAAGTTTAGGGTGGAGAGATGGCTCAGTGGTTAGGAACACTGGCTGTTCTTGCAAAAGACTGGGATTTGAATCCCAGCACCCACATGGTAGCTAACAATTGTCTGTAACTCCAGTTCCAGGGGATCTGACAGCCTCTTCTGTCCTCCGTGGGCATTGCATGGGTGCACTTACATACATGCTAGCAATATACACATACACTTAAAAAATAAAAATAAATAAATAAAAGCACAAGTTCAGCCCTATCTTATATGTGTGATCACCATAGGAAGGTGAATTTGGGCTCCTGCTGCTCAGACTGGTAGCTCAGACCCAGGAGATAATTCACTTCCTCACCTCATACATCAGCCGGCCCGCCATGTCCTGCCACAGCAGCACAAAACAGGCAGAGGCCTGGCCCAACTCAAAGGGATCTGTAGATAAATGAGAGGGGAGGTGAGTTCAATGACCAGGAGCCCAGCTAAGGAGAAGGTTATAGAGTGATACGAAGCGCTTCTGCCCGGGCTGCTGCCACAGTGTGACAGACACTTGAAGCCAAAGTGCCAGTTAAGTGTTCAAACCTTTGCAAACCTCCCACCTGGGCCTGTGTGGTTCAGGTGTCTCACACACAGAGACTCACAGCAACCCACAGCACAAGCCCACTCAAAAGGGCAGCCACACAGTCCCTGGGCTGGTGACATGACTCAGTGGGTAAAGGCATTTGCAGCCAAGCCTAAACCGAGTTCAATTCCAGAACACACATAGTGGAAGGAGAGAAATGAGCCCCGAAAGTTGTCCTCTGACCTCCACATGCAGGCCATGGCCTGTGTGTCCCCCTTTCCCTCACACACATACAAAATAAAGCCTCTTGGTGAGCGTCAGGGAAGGGGCTGGTGATAGTTCAAAGAGGAGCCATAGCAACAATCGCCACAGACGCTGAGCCTTGTGCAACAGCACAGCTCCCACTCAAAGGCTTACTTTTGAGCATCATTTACACTAACAGTACAGGTGTCTCCCCATATCTGAAGCTGATGGCATCTGCTCTCTCTGAAACGTGCTCTGAGTCCCTTGAACTTGTATCCAGCAAACTGAAAGCAAAATACAAAATGTCTAAACATCAAAGCTAAAGAAAACAAAACCCAAACCATCTAGAGCACTGCCAGAAGTCACTCTCACATCTCACATTTTAAGTGACAGCTCCCCGCAAAAGCACATTTGTATAAGGGAGAGTTTCACCCTGCCCCCAGGGTGCTGCCAGAGCTGATGGATGAAGCCTGTAACAGGAACCTACTGGGAATTCTTGAGGCCATGGAGGGTCTGCCCTTGGTGAGTCTGGGACATCATTCTTCTCTTATTTCACTTCCTACACATGAGGGGAGTGGTTTTGCTCTCGCAATCATTCCTATAAGGATGTGTTTCTTTACCACAGGCCCAGAACAATGGGACCACCAGGATGGACTATAACCTCCAAACTGCGAGCCAACAGAAACTCCTCTTTTTTAAAAAAAAATTATTTTTATTTTATATGTATGAGCATATTGCCTGCATGTATGTAAGTACACCCATGTATTTACCTATGCCATGTCATGCAATGCCTACGGAGGTCAGAAAGGGTATTAGATTCCCTGGAACTGGAGTTATGGATAGTTGTTAGCTGCCATATGGGTGCTGGGAATCAAACCCAGGTCCTCTGCAAGAGCAGCCAGTACTCTTAACTGCTGAGCCATCTCTCCAGCCCCTAGAAACTTCTCTTTATAGTCAGCTATTCAGGTGTCTGTTATTCCAAGGGAAAACTGACTACCACACTTTAGTACAAGAGCAAGGCTGCATGTTCAACTCTTCTGGTCAGACACTCTGTACCAGTGTTGGCTTCCTCAGGAGCACTGGTAGGAGGGGCTGCTTCCCACAGGACATGCCCCTGTAAATGAATAGCAGTTGTTTTTGTATGGCTGATGGTGACACACTTTATTGATTTAAGAACCCGCCCTTTCCCAAAGTACATGGTATGTGTGCACATTACAAACATCAGTGACAATGGACCTCCCAGTGCCTCTCTGAAGTGGCACTGAACTCCAGGCTCAGAGAGCTGCCCTTGGAATGAAGGTTTCATCTCTCCCTCCTGCTCCCTGTGCCCAGGGAAGCAAGACCTCAACACAACTTAGGGCCCAAAGAAGGGAGACATTGCTCTCCCAACACTCCCCTCCCCCCCCACCCCCGTGCTTGGAGCTCAAGGAGCAAGGGACACCTGCTGCCTCAGCTGGTGGCCATTGTGAAGTGACTGGGCTGTATCTGAGGTACAGAATGGAATGCTGAATTACATGACCCAGAATCAAAGTGAGCTGCTCTCATCCCTGAGGTGCTGGCTTACAAAGTTTCCTTCCAGCCTGCTTCTCTCTAAACAAGATGTTGCTTTGAGCTTTTTTTAAGAACGAAAGCCAGCGTTTATCTTCACAGTGAGAGCAAGGATAGTAAGAACGCTTACTCTCCAGCTCCCTCCAGAGGCTGACAAACTTCAACACTCCCCATGTGGCTACCCCTGGCTGCCTTCCTCTTTCTCCCCCAAGCGGCTTGCTTTAGAGCCAGTGGACATTCTATGACCTTCTCACTGTAGCAAATACTCGCTGGTATCCAACGGTTTCAGGACTCAGTGGAGTTGCTCCCAGAACACAGTTATTCGAGGAAACAGGCGGAGCCATGTGCTGGTGTGGGGAGATCCCATCAAAATACTCCCCATCTCCCTGTGCCTCGGTGACGTCACACAGTCATGGTCTCAGTCCCACCATGGACTGGCAGCTTGTGACCCATTCAACATTTGTTCTCTGATCCTGTGATGTTGCTACCATCACACAGGCTATCCAGTCATCTTCTAGCCTCCCCAGTGTGATACAGGAGGTGAGCTGGGCCTGCAGGGCAGCCTGACCTCTTCCAGAAGCAAATTCATCTCTTGGGTGCACCAGTGAGGAGTGATACCTCCAGGGCTTAGATCAGCACACTGGCAAGAGCCCAGGCCCCGACATGTCCGAGGATCCTGGGATGGGCTGCAGGTCACTGTCACATCAAAAATGCTGCCAGTTCCACATAGTTGGCAGCCGTGACCTTTGCATTTCTGCTTCATGAACAGGCAATGACAGGCACAGATCACTCGGCAGACAGGGAAAGGGTCTGCAGTGGTTGCTTAAAAAAGAAGCCTCTATTGTCCACAAGAAAGTTGTAAAAGCAGCTCTTCCAATTCTCCCCCAAAAGTCCCTGAGATGCACCTCCATCATTGGCACTGAGCTGTAAGCACTTCTGGGACTAAGCCATGAGCACTTTCAGGATTGAGCCATAAGCCCACCTGGACTGAGCTGGAAGCATTTCTGAACTATGTCTGTAGCACTGGAGGGATGGAGAGGTACTGTTAGGGAATCTGATTCCAACGGTCCAAGACGGGCTCCCATCTCTTGATGTCTACCCCAAGCCAGCCTGTGGCAGCACAGGCTTCCATCACTTAATCCTCCTAGCTGGTCTCCAGCTTCCTGATGAGGCGCTGGTAGGTGTCTCTTTCCACCTGCCAGGAATGATGTCTCTTCACGTATTCCCTTCCATTGGCCACGATTTCTTTCTCTAATGCAGGATCACTAACCAGTCTCTTTGCCAGCTGAATGAACTCCTGCAAGACAGGAAATGGAGGACAAATACATGTTGAGCGATGGGTGGAGCAGAAGTTGCAAATACATCCTGAAGGCTGTGTCTGTATCAGCTCCTGGTTTCCCTGGTATGCCTCACAGCCTGGAGGAAAGGACTTTCAGGGCAGTAAAGTTCTACACTTTAGAGTTAAGAAGTACCGTATGTAGGGCTGGAGAGATGCTCAGTGGGTAAAGGCACTTGCCACCAAGCTTGATGACCTGAGTTCTATCCTTGGGACCTACACAGTAGGAACAGAGAACTGATTCCAGCAAGTTGTTATCTGACCTCCACATGTGGTGCCATCACACACACACACACACACACACACTTATCCATGTGCATGCATTTATTTTAGTGATCAATATGTACAAGTAGCAGCACGCATATACACACATACACAGATGCACACAGATCCATACAGATTTGTACGTATGTATACACACACACACACACCTGGAGGGAACATCCACGGAAAATACAGAATCATCAATTGTGCTTCTCCCCAGTCTTCCTGGTGCAACAAAACCTATCTCTTACAGTGGGCAATGGTTACCAAAAAGATTCCTAACTGGTCAAAGTGCTGAGAGTAAGTGACTGTTGAGGGCTCAGCCCTAAATGGAAAGTCTATGTCAACCTCACCTATGGTTCGGGGAACGCTGCGAGGGGTAGAAAGATTGTGAAAGCTGGGGTACTGTGTAGTGTTGTGGGATGCTGTCTTCAAGCAATGGCATGGCCATTGCACTCCTGAACTCTCAGCAGCACAAAGCCTGCACAAGATTGGACCCATCAGTGTTCTGTCATGGAGTTGGGAGGTGCCTCACCCCTTCCTGATTATCTATAGCAATTTGATGGTTGATAGAGGAGGGACATTTTCTTCAGTGTAGTAAGGTGCCAATGCTCCTTTTTTTGGAAGACACACACATACACACACATACACACACACACATACACACACACACACAAAAGCAGAAGGGGCACTGTCTGGGGAAAGGAAGTGAACAATGAAGGAGGGGGGAATATGATCAACATTATATACACATATGAAAAGGTCATAATGAAACACATTAGTATGCCTAGTAAATAAATGCTGATTTGATATCAGGCTTAGGAACCTGTTCTAGTTACTTTCAGTTGCTGTGATAAAAATGCCGATCAAAACCAGCTTGGGTTATTTGTCTTGCAGCACAGTCCATCATCAAGGGAAACCAAGGCAGGAACTCAGGGCAGGAACCTGGAGCACAGACCCTGGAGATACACTGCTTACTGACTTGCTTCCCTGGCCTGTGCTTTGCCTGCTTTCTTATACAATAAAGGAACACCTGTCCACAGTGGGCTGGGCCCTCCTACATCACTCAACAGTCAAGAAAATGCCCCACAGACATTGTCACGGGTCAATTCAATGGAGACAGTTCCTCAACTGAGGTTCTCTCTAACCAGGTGTGTCAAGTGGGCAACTAAAGCTATCCAGCACAGAGTCTGTGGCTAGGCAGGTCACAGAACCTAAGAATGTTTCATACAATAACTATTTAGTAATACTAGTTTTGTACTAAATAGTTATATTAAACTGACTCTTAGTGACTTATTGTTATACCCATAGAGTAATGCATCTCTCAGCTCTCACCAGAGAAATTTCCTTATGCAGCAGATGGTGATTTACACAGAACCCCACAACTGGCCAATGTGCAGAGAACAAGAGGATTCAGAGTGCTTATTCCTGAGTGGGACGGTTATATCAAACTTCTGCCTCCCAAGGGTCAGAGATCATTGCAGAAGAGAGAGCAGAAAGATTGTAGGAGCCAGAGGTAGTTGATGATCACAAGGAAACAGAATTTTCAGACAGATGATCAGTTACTCAAATGGCCTCGCAGCAATGGTGACAACATGCACAAGTACCAAGAAAGCACAAACCAAGAAAAAAAAATCCTAGCACACACATGAGAAAGGCGGTAAGATGCTCTGACCCCACCCGAATAAGTTACTTTTCTGTTGCTGCGACAAAAATATTGACCAAGGCAACTTAAAGAAGGAAGAATTTATTTGACCTTACAGTTCCAGGTTCAAGACGAACTACAGTCCATCACGGCGGAGAGGCATGGTGAGGCGGCCAGAGCAGGAGCAGAAAGCTAAGTACAATCACATCTTCAAGAAGACACAGGAAGCAGAGAGTGACTGGAAACCCAGCAAGGCTTAAGAACTCTCTAACCATGTCCCCAGTGAAGTGCTTCCTCCAGCAAGGTCACATCTTAGAAAACCTCTCAAAACAGCACCACCAACTAGGGACAAATACTTAGAGTCTATGGGGGATATTTTCATTCAAACCACCAAACCACCTAAGGAAACTGTGACAACTGATGGCTTCTGGGAGGGGCAGAGATAGTCTCTTTTAAGTATGGAACTCTTGGTAGGTTAGCCAAGCTCCAATGGATGGGCCCATACCGAAGGACATTTAGGGACACAAATTAGACTCTTTAGGCCTTATTATACATACATATACATATACATATACATATACACACATACACACACATTATATATATACACATATATATATGAATGTGTAGAGAGTACATTAAATTGGGTGGGTGGGCAATAAGGGGAGGTATAGATAGGGGAGGAGATCGAAATACCATCAAATTGTATTATATTGTATGAAAATCACAAGAATTCAATTGAAAATATATAAAAATATTATTAGATTAAGATGCAAAATTTAAAAAAAAACTGTCCTATCTCTTCTTTCCAGTGACCTGGGAGTCATTTATCCCCACTTCTTTGACCAAGGTCCTCCCTGGGCACACAACACATCCTCACTCCATGGACAGTACCTGGGGCAAAAGGAAGTTCTGGCCTTCAGGGTCAAATCTAGGTTCAAATTCCACACCATTCACTTAGCTGTGTAACTTTAGGCATGCTAGTTAACATCTCTGAACTCACATTCATTATCTGTGGAGGAGAAAATGCCATTGGGGCATTGGGGAGTCCCTGGGCCCCACAGTCTGTCTGCACAGAGCTTGGAGAGGTCCTTGATTTTTTATTTTCTAGCCCCACTTCCTGTTGCTTCACTTCAGATCACATTTCTGCCCTCACACACTATTAATTGATGCCCTCGGATATGATGCAGGTGAAAGAGGCTCCTGCTGACCAGTTTTTAATTTCAAAGACATTCATAATTAGAAAATTTAGAATTACTCTGATATTAAAGTTTATTCCAGGACAGGAGAACATTCATTATTTATTACACTTACAGAGAAGTCTCAGGCAGAGTGTAGAGCCAGGTCAGTACCCTTTTCCAGAGGAGACACGGGGTGAGAGGGAGGAATAGACCTCAATTGTCAGCAAGGGTAGTGGCAGCGCCTGCTTCCCAGGGCACTGGGAGTGTGAAACGGACTGAGACACACACAGGCTCTCGTGCAGATTGGGCCCAGGGGCCAGGTCAGTCAAAGAAGTGTTTGCCATGAAAACTGAGGACCAGAGTTTCATTCCCAGAACCCATGCATAAATAGTTCAGTGTGGTGGTGCACACTTACAATCCCAGCACTGGGGAGGCAGAAATGGATGGATCTTAGGTGCTCATTGGCCAGCCAGTATAGCCTGCTTGGTGAATTTCTGGCCAATGAAAGATTCTTTCTCCCCTCAAAACGAAAACAACACAACAAAAAGCACATGTACAATATCTGGGGAATGCCAGTCAAGGTTGCCCTCTGAGCTCTACATGCACCCAAGCTACCCACACACATACATGTGCCTAGAACACACATGAACGAACACATACACACACACACACACACACACACACACACACACACACACACCAAGAATCTCATGCAGGGGACGATTAACACAGAGAGCCACACTGACCAAAATGTAGAGACTAGGAGTCTGCAGAGTGTGTGTCCCTGGATAGGACTCCTATATTAAACCTCAGTGACCCAGGGCTCAGGGAAAATTGTGGAAGAGGGGGTGGAAAGATTGAAAGAACCAAAGGTGGTGGATGACAATAGGGAAACAGTTTTCCAGGCTTCTGGGAGCTTGCTCATATGAAATTACAGCAATGGTGACAGTATGTACAGACCCATGCAAACTCAAACCAGACAAAAACCAGCATAGAACTGGGAAAATGGGTGGGAGCCCCAACCTCAGCTGGGGACTGTTGTTGGTGGCTGATCACTGTTTGGTGAGGGAGAATTGGTCTTCTATTGGAGAGTGACACTAGCTATGCTGATGAGGCTCCAGTGCGGGACCTCATACCAAGAGATATTTGGGGACACAGACTTGACTCAACAGACCTTAACATGTATGACAAGATGGATGAGGTCTGGGGGGTGGGGGCTATGGTGAGGATGCTAATATGATTAAGATATATTATATGAAATGCACAAAAATTCAATTAAAAATATACAAAGAATCTCATGCAGGATCTCCAACATACTTAATTACCATTATCCCCATTACTCCCCCAGCCCAAGTAAATTCTAGCCAAGAGATAGTGCTGACATAATACACAGTACTCTGCTGTCAAAAAAGAACACTCACATATTCTCAAAATTATTGTTAATTAAACGTTGAATGCCTTTTATAGTCGGCAACATAAATAGCAACATTTATGTGGGTAGAATTATATTTTTATGCATTATGCATACACTTTATAGTAAATTGGTATTCTTTTCATAATAAAAATGTAACACATTTATTCCCATCGTGTGGCAGAATAACATTCATATTAAAATTATTTGAGGCTTATAGCGCTGGAATATTATTTTATGATGCTGGCCATATCTGTGATTTATCCGATGTGAAGGATTCAGCTGAAGCCAAAGCCCCTGCTTATCGTTGCAGAATGCAAGGCAATTTTAAAGTAAAATCCTGAATGATAGGGTTTCTAGGAATAGGCTCTGATAAGATACGCTTTTACTTTTTTTTTTTTTTCTTCAGCAAGGAAGTCTGGAAAAACAAGACTTTAAGCACGAAGGATCAGAGTTAGGA